TGTTCAGACTATTGCACTATCATTATCAGTTTTGTTATTATTTAACAAAAAAACATAGGAAAATTTAGTGGTGAACGGTAGTTATGAATTAGACCTATGAGTTGGAAAGTTGCTACTAGAAACGTTTCGTTCCAAAAACCAATTTCTAAGTCCTCCAACCTCGTCATCGGACTAACTTGATTTGCTTTAAAAACACACACACACACACACACACACACAAAACACATTTCTCAGTTTACAGTAAAAGTTTTAACCAACATCTGGTATCAGTTAAAGCAATGTAGCACTTCTAGGAAATGGGTGACATTTTTGTTAAGGCAGATCCGTCCAGACTGCTTTCACAGAAAGTGGCTCTGAAACAAAATTACCAACTTTGAATTTTTATCATTCGGTTTCTCAATTGACTTGCAAAAAGGTCACTATCGAACTTATCCTTGTGAAACAGTACAGAACTAATGATAAACGTTGCTTGATTCTACCAAGCGCAATAATTTTACCCTTAAGCTCTCTTAGCCTCACCTTTTTCGCATTGTTCCCCCATGTAACCAGCTTGGCATTGACAGAGATACCGTTTGACCGTATATCCATTCAGGCAAACTGAATCATGATGAAGACATGGGTCACACTGAAGCACGGGTTCTGATGAGAAGACGTTCTATTTCATTGCCAAAGTTTTTATTCACAGTTATGTCTAAAATTTGCGAACTATTATATTATATTCACGAAATAATATTATATGTTCTACTCAGAGTAATTTTATCACCTCAGTGCCTATGTACAGAAAGCCTTCCCACTTGTGAAGATCTTCAGGGTGTCTCGTGTGGTCTGAATCGCTAAGCTCGCAGGTAAACTTCTCGTCAGTTGGTGGGGCGATGTTGACGGATACCCACACGGGGTCCATTATACATCGATGAGTACAAGCACTACGCACTGATGGTCCCACATAAATAGAAAGATGAAATTTCTTTATCACGTGAAATTGAAGAGCATATCCATCAATGTTGGTGGAGAATTTAAGACGACGCCAGAGACCTGCAAATAATAAGGAAGACATTCTTGCAAAACCAAATCAAACGCTAATCACCTTGGACTGTCGGGTAAAAACTGCTGTAATAAGTGCAAAGGTTAAATGAAACCTAATTTCAGAACTTATTTTTTCGGTGTTGTTATCCTCAACATTAGTTGGAAAAATAATATGGGTC